TGAAATATGTAATGGGCATTATGGATATGATCAGAGGCATCAATAGACCTCAAAAAACCTGTCCCTAAAGGACAATCTCAAGCAAATTCATCTGACTTCTTCTCTTCCTATCACTCCAAGCATCAGTCATAATATAAATCCTATACTGAGCCCATGCATCTTCTTAACTTCTACAGCTTCCTTCGTGACACTCACCACTTTTTTCAAAAGAGGCTCTGAAAGTTCATATGGGGTTGGGGGTTTCATCCCAGGCCCAAATTGGCCAATTGCCTTTACCGCGGCATAAAAGTTGCTTCGGCGAGCGGTATTGAAAGGAATGCCTGCCTCATAAAACCATGTAGCAACATAATAAACAACTCTATCTCTCTCTTCATTCTATTTTCAATGGTGCTTTGTTTTTTTGTTTTCTCCCCTGCAACCTCAGGGTCAGGCCGAGGCAAAAAACTATCCATAGGGCCTCTAACCCGAGTCTTCTTACTCCCAGAACCAGAAGCAATTACAACTCCCTTTTCCCTCCCCCTAATAATGGATTGTTCTACCTCTTGACATCGCTCCCCAATCCCATCCTCATCACTATCATCATCATAATTGACTCGAACCCCAGACCTAATCTCTGTTATGGAGGCAAATCTCTCATCTTCTTTCATTTTACTATACTAAAAAAATTGGTTATTTCCTCTTTAACAACATCAGGAATCTTTTTACATGGGGCAACATCCCCCTGATACCGGCAAGATGTTTCTTGAATTGGTTTATGCCCCCTTTTGTATCATTCTCACAAAACTTGCATCCTATGCAATTTTTATCATTAGGATCTTGGTTGTAGCCATAGTTCTAACTAGGATCACCGCTCCTATTAGATCCCGAAGAAGACTTCTCAAAATAATATAACTTATACAAGCAATAAAAAAAATCACTTACTTTGATTGTTCAATCTCCAAACTTCTACCTTATAGATGCTTCTAAGGAATCAAAATCTTCCAAAAAACCCCCCAATAGATTTATAGAACATCAAAAATTAAATCTAATATCAAATGGTGATGTTTTGATCAATTTCTCATAACTTTGAGAAACCCTTAAACCCTAAAGAAATAACCAAAATTCTAGTTTTTTGGGGGCTTTCTCTCTCTAAACTGGTTCTAATTAGTTTTAGGTTTCAAATGAACCTAAAGCCCCCATTTATGGCCCCTCAGTGTAAATAAAATGGACAAAAATAGCCCCCACCGAAACCTTTTTTTGCCTTTGGGCGGGGCAGTGTACCTGAGCGACCGCCTAGGCCTGGGCATGGGGCAGCTGCCTAGGCGGGTGCCCAGGAACCTCTGCTTTTTTTGGGCACCTAGGCTTGGGTGATGCGCCCAGGCCACCAGATCCGCTTGGGCGGCCGCCCAGGCTTTGGGCGGTCAGCTTTTTGAAACACTAAGCGTAGAATATCTTGTAGTGCTCAGTCTGTTTGATAATCTTTTACGTATTTTATTTAGTTGTGACTGCTCATGTTGAGCAAATTCCAAAAAATGTGAAACCTCCTTGTATTACTTGTTACCTCCTCTGTTAAAGTTCCTATCTGCAGGTTTACACTTTCTGGACTATGAATTGCATTGTACTTTTCTACATTTTCAGATACGTCATCATTTTGATAAGTGCTTTTCACCTACCTGGCTTGCTTTTATTATCCTCTATGAGGCTTCCCTTTCTTCACCAATGCAAACGCAAAGCTAATCACATCCTTTTTGAGGAATTGAAGGTGGCAATATGGAACAAACACAGTATATGAAGTCAACTTTTTATTTCTTTATTATTACCAACTTGTCTGCTTACATGGGCCATGTACAATGAAAAAAATATAAAAATAAAACCTACTATAAGGATCCACTCTTGCTGCCTTTAAACATAAACTTTATTCATAAAGAAAGAATCAATTGCAATAATGAAGTATGAGTTAAGAACTGGGAGGCTACTTACTAGAACAAAAGAATACCTAGGATAACCCCCACAGGACTTAGTATACCCACTCCAGATAACGAAACCAATGACTCACCATTCTTATAGTCCCTTCTAAATCCTCTTCAAGATAGGAAACATGCTCTGGCAAACCCTAATGTGTTTGGGCAGAGAGCATAACCAAGAGCGGGAAAGTATTGAACAAATTAGGGTTTCGTTTTAACCCTTATCTTTATTTATTTCTTCACTGTGTCTTGATGATGGACAATAAATTTCTTCCTTGAATCTTTTTTGGTGATTGTCAAATATTGTATGGATATCTTTTTTGATTTACTGTAGACTAATAATAATAGTTCTGTATCCTTGGAGAAGTATATTTTGTACATATGCAATAATGAAAAGGTGTACTTTTACAATATAAATGAAACTTGCATTCACAGGTCAGATATTTGGCTTACCAATCGATGCATTTAAGAAAGTGATGTCTTCCAGGTGTCTGCTCATATTGTCTCACCTACTTTTACAGATATTGCAGTTGGCAATAGAAACAAAAAGGATTCTCCCATTGATTACACTTTCTGTCACTGTTCCCCATACACTCCGCCTTCCTGATCAGGTCAGTTCTTAACAGAGATATGCTTTTGCAATAGGAGAAATTCATCATCACATAACAGACACTGATTCAGTATTCCAATTCAAATCTACAGGTAAAGCTAGCAGAGTTATTGGAATGTGAAGGTGTTGACATCATTCAAACTGAAGGAGGCAAATATTCCAATCCTTCGGAACCAGGTGTTCTGGGTCTGGTCGAAAAGGTATGCGTTATGGTTAAGGGTATGGGTGCTATTATATATTATGGAACATTTAAATATTTTGTTTTAATTGGATAGAGCCATGACTTGTTGTATATACAGACTCAGCAGTTTTTGGGAGTCTATGATTATATTGGTGATAAAATCTAAATAGTATCTATTTTGATGCCCAAAGTTCTAGCTTTGTAATTTATTAATGTCATACAAGTTCCTGGTAAGAATCTGTCAGTTAATATTTCACTTAATATTGGTCACTTGTTCCTAAAATATTGATCCTTATGGACACCTAAATTTTAAATTATTGTAGGAAGTGAAAGGTGGCGATATAGATCACACACGGTATATGTAATATGTAATAAAGATTTTTCAGCTACTATACAGGCGAGTCTACTTACATAAGCTAAAGCTATTATAATACAAGGATCCTCACTTGCTGCGATCTAATAAGCTCTTTTCATTCATAAAAATAACAAAATTGCAACAGGTAAGTGAATCAAGAAAACGGGAAGCCTTTACTTGAACTAGTTACCTTGGATCACCTCTAAAGGACTTTAATACATCCCATTCCAGATCACCTACCTCGATGATGCACTGATCACGATCCCTACTGAATCTCCTTAAGATGGGAAGCTTTATGGTAAACCAAGATCACTAGATGTCGTAGAAGAGAGCATAACCAAATATGTGCCACAAGGGCACACCACAACAAAAAGCAGCACTCATCACAAAACAAAAACTAAAACAAATTACAGAGGCTAGGTATCTATGGGGAGTACCACCCTAGGATTTCTAGTGTGGGGTGCGAGAACCCCTTGTGAGCAAGAGAAATAGAAGAGAGAGAGTGGAGAGGGGCATGCAGAATAGAGAGAGAGAAAGAGACTTTATGGTGAGATGGGATTTCTATGGGATATGACCCTTATTCATAGTGGTGTCTCCAAATTAGGGTTTACCATCTTATTGATATTCAACATGCACCGTTGATCAACAATGATCTTTAGGGTGAATAGAAGCTTTTAATCTGAGTCCTCTGTTCCTAAGTCGATCATAATGATGGATGGAATGATTTAGAACCATTATCCCTTAGTTGCCTTGACCCATTCTCTTTTAATTTGAAAAGATAAATCTCTTATCCAAAAATCTTGCTTAACCTTGTTAAAAATCAGTAAGACGCTTTCCATGTCTTCTAGAACACCTTCTTAACCTTTCTAATAATTATCCAAAAATAACCACCAAGTTCTACTTGGTTAACAAGCTGAAAATGATAAGGAAAAGGTGGGGTGTGTGGGTGAAGAAGCCCTAGTGGGCCCCACGCCCCACAACAAATGGGCCCCTATGTGTTGGGACCTTTGCTATTGGGCCTCATGTGGGTCGCATGAGATTTCATCTGTGCCCAAAATAATTTTAAATCCCTTCCAAGTATTTTAAAAAAAATAAATTTTTGATGTTGAAAATCCCATTAATTTTTTTATTAAAAGTTTGTGATGGAAAATAAAATATGAAATGTGCTTTAAAAATTCTTTTTGGTGATTAATAAATTTTTATTAAACGTAGTTAAAAGTGAATTGGATACATCGAGAAGGCGCTCCATTTGTGCTAGTTCTTGTGGTCCATAGCTTATTTTCTCAAGCTAACCCAACAGAACCCATGACCCACAGTCAATTGCAGGGGCTCATACTTGGTCCATCAGAGTTGGCCAATAAATAAAAGGAATATGGATCTAGTTTGTGGATTATAGGTTCCTCTCGAGGATGGTCATGCCTCACATAGCCATGTGCACATTATTACAATGGTGTAGGGGGGCTCTCTTTAGCACATGTATAAGTCTTAACTTAATGTATCGTTTCTCATATATACGACTATCATATGTACATGCCATGCAGTGGTAATGTTGAGAAGTTTTCCCTTGCCTTCACAAGCCACCAACTATACATGAGATCGACTACCTCCTGGCTAACCACCTTGGGTATCCCTTCGACCTGAACAAGGGCTAACCCTGCAAACCTTCCACTATTGTGCCTTGTGCCCAGGACTGCAAGGATTTGGACTCAACTTCTTGGCCTAGACCGCCCAAGTGTGTGAATCATTGGTCACAATGGAGCATGCCTCTCAGGTCACATATGGAGCACACTCCCAATGTGGTATACTATAATTATAAGTTTTTACATGCTCTCAAAGTCTTTGAAGGACACATATCCCAGTAGGAGGTACAAGTTTGAAAGTTCTTCATATGGTCGAAGAACTGGGGTTAACTTTAGAGCAGAGCATTCCCTCTAAAGTGCAAGTGTTTCAGTGTTGCTCTGAGTTTGAGTGCTTTCCTATGCATAACTAGGAAAAAGACAATCTAGGAGGGCTTTTTGCAATTGCAAAGCAAAAGTGTAAGATGGCTTTTTGCAGCTGCGAAGCATGTCTAAGAGTTCTTTCCTCATCAAGCAAACCCCTCTCAAACTTGTCATTTGAAGTCACAAGAAGACCCCCTGAACATTTGAAAGTAGCAAATGAGTGCCCTTATCTGATCTACAATCTTCCTCATTAATATGAGCTAGCACTGAGCTACTGGGCTTGATCCCTAATGTGCTCCACTTCCTCAGTTTGGGGGACCAGTGTACTGACATTAAGGGTCACCCCCTTGACTTTCAAAAACTGAGAAAGTTGACTATGGATCCTTGATAAAGAAAAAATATTCTTCAGGTGTGAGACTTGTCAATGTTGTTATAGTGTTTTAGTATTATCCACTTCCTGCAATAATCAAGAGGGCAATGATTTTTTGGTCAACACTGTGGTTGTTAGTATATGACAAGAACTGGTGAAAATTAGTTTTCTGTACAAAGATCATTGGGGTTCAGCATGTTTCCATCTTTCTGATCGAATGTGAAACCTGATCGAAGAGACATTAGGTGATTCTTAAATAAAGTTTATCATCCATGCCATGCCTATGCACATGCACACACATTCACAAATATGTATGTGGATGTGTGTATGTATAACTGGAAGCAAACGCCTGAACAGATGCTACAGCAATTGAGGTCTCATTATCAAGCCTGTATCTCTCTATGCATGATGAAACAATGGGCAACGACCCAAAATAAGAAAATGAAACATGAACATCGTAAACCAAATTTGAGCTTTCCAAATGAAGCCTGCCTCTCTTTCTCTCTCTCTCCACATGGAAGGTACCATGATGGGTAATAACTCTCTCTTTCTCTCTCTCTTTCTTCTCTCTCTCTCTCTCTCTCTTTCTTTCTTCTCTCTCTCTCTCTCTCTCTCTCTCTCTCTCTTTTTCTCTCCACATGGAGGTACCATGATGGTAATATCTCTCTCTCTCTCTCTCTGTCTCTCTCTCTCTACCTACATGGAAGTTACCATGATGGGTAATGCCAAAAGTGAACATGAACTGACAAAGCAAGAAACAAAAAGGACCCACTTATCAGCAGTTGTCTATATTTTGTTAACCACTATTAATTTAAAATGTGTTTCACCTCAAGGCCTCGTCCAAATGAGCCTTTTGCTGGATACTTAGACTTGAGGTGATTGCACTTTTTAGCAAATTGGAGCTTAGGTGATACTGCTATTAATGTGAGGCATATTTCTATCCTTTCACTTTGCTCTTTGTTGATGGAAAAGATAACTTACAAAATGTCAAAATAATTATGTTTATACAGGGTGTTTGGTCCTTGTAACCAAATTATACTGTACACAAAACACAAATGATTAAGGGAAATTTAATACGAAGTGTCTAAACAACCACTGCTTATTGAAAAGCTGTAGTATCATGTGATCTATTGTGTACTCTGCGCCCACATGGAAGAGAAGCATTATATTCTGATGTTTATCAAGTATGATAACTAGTCAACTACTAATTATTCTGGATCTACCTTTTTCCAGTAAGTTGACATTGAGAAACAGACAATGTTTTTCTTCTTTTTGAGGACCTTACAAGTTTATTTTATGTTTCTAATGAACATCCATAAATTCTGACTGCTAAATAAATGGATAATGGTTTTTGTTGTTTAGGCTACCCCCACTTTAGCAGCTGCATATTCCATATCACGAGCTGTCAAAATTCCTGTTATATGTTCATCTGGATTGAGTGCAGTTACAGCACCTATGGCCTTGGCAGCAGGAGCATCTGGTGTGGTATGCTTCTTCTGTAAACCTTTGTATTTCAGCAATTAGTATCAGGCCATTGACAGTTAGATCTTTAATATCAATTAAATTGAAAATTTTGAGGTGGCATCTAATGAGGCCGAGATCCATAGTGGGGAATCCACCCTTTGTTTCATTTTAATAACAACCAGGACACTTGTTATCATAGAGACTTAATTCTAACCAGAATGCAAAATCTAAAGTGTGATTCAGTGTTCATGTTCACATTAAAAATTCCAAACTAAGCGATGCATTCTTTTGAATGCTGTAGCTAAAATGCAATGGCACAGTCATATGTTCCTTTTTGATGCAGGGAGTTGGTTCGGCGGTGAACAAGTTGAATGATGTGGTTGCCATGATTGCAGAGGTCAGAAGCATAGCAGATGCCATTGGGCTGCCGGTGAAATCTCCAGCTGGAGATGTTAGAAGTGTTCATTTCTAGACTTGTAAATTTCATAATCTTGGCCAAGTCTCGTTAAGATATACAATCTTTTTATAACTTTGATTGTGCAAGGTGACTACATGGGCCAAAATTTCTTGCTCAAATATGTCTAATAATTGTTCTTCGTTTCCTCTGTTTTTGTGTTTGGTAACTGTGGCAGTAGCTTGTGTGATTTGTGGTCTGTGCTGGTAGAGAATTAATCGGAATAACTAAGAAAAAGTAAGAGATTATGCATTTCCAGTAATGCTCAGTGGAATGTTTATTCATTGCCCATAAATCTAAAGTCAATCGGGCGAGTTACTCCGACTCATCCGGTTAATCACATTGACCATATCTCAAGTACCTTGGTCGCGTTGATTTGTTGACCACTGCTGCATTTATTGTCATATCTATGAGGTCAACAATATTCTGTAAGTTCCATTCCACGACAAGTACACATCCTACCTTGAATCCAAGAAGGTATATTAAGATGTGGTTGGCTATAAACTATTGGTATTGTTTTTGGATGGATGAGAGGTGAGCCATACTGTTTTTCTATATCTATTCTATTTTTTTGAAAGTTTCTTCTATATCTGTTCTACAAACAAGCTTTTATCCAGTTATTGACTATTTCAGGTAGCCCATCGCTTTGGTTTTTGGAGGTTGATCACACTGATTATTTTGAACTATGTATTATGCATATTGAAAACTTTGCTCTAAATAAGTTTGAGTAATATTTGCAGTTTCATGATATATAAGTTGATTCACAAGGCATTTGAGATTTTATAGTCCTTAGAGAATAATGTTATATGGATCAATTATGATCTTTATGAGAAAGCCAAATGAAATAAGGAAGAGTTTATGTAAGGTGCCAACCTTATACTATAAGAATAAGGTGCACCTAAAAAATCCACTAAAGAAAGTTTTTTGTATGTTGGAAACCCTAAAATCAATTGTCTCAACCCCGAGATTCATAGACATGAAAATAGAAGAGTTTTTGTCTTAAAAATGGTTCATCCTCAATTTTATAGGGTTGCAAAGTTGTGTACTATTAACGAAAGTAACGTATGCAATGAACCACCTTTTTAATATGGGTACACATAATAGGAAGGAAAACATTGTACCCAATATTGTATCAAAAAATAAGTGCGGTTTTATAAAATCCATGAATAACTAAACAACCCAACAAAACCCAAAGCAACAACCAACTCAATTGAAACTGTGACGGTGCGTGCAAAAAAGAACGACTTTGCAATAGGAAAAAGTGACGGTGTTTACGAAAACGAAGCAAATAATGAGAGAGAAATAGGGACCACGATCAAGAGAGACGAAACAACCTTGGTGAGCAATAGATCGCTACTGATAGATCGGTCTGCTCTTATTCCATGTTAGAAATTGTATTTTCTGTATCTTTGGGTTTTAAGCCCCTATCGAAAATGTATTTTAGAGCATCTCCAAATAAAAACAAGGAAGAAACTATAATTTTATATTTTCTACTATAATTTTATATTTTCTACTTTATGTAGAAAAGTAAAGTTATAAAGAAATCTAAATAATAAAATTTTGGTAAAAAATAGGATGAATTTTTTTATGCTTAAATATAAAAATAAGTCATAAATGAAAGGGAAAAGTTTATATAAGGTTGCAACCTTGAAATGTAGAACTATGGATAGACCCCAAAAATCCATCGAAAAAGGTTGTTCTAATGTTGAAAAACCCTATGATTAATCATCTCGACATTAAGATGTACGACTATGAAACATAAAAAGATTTTGGGTCTCATAAAAAGTGCATCTATAGAACTAAATAAAAAAGTACAAAGTACAAGTTACAATCTTAGAATAAAATACTTACATAGAAATAGTCTAAGCACACATGACACCAGCATACCACACCAGTACACTCTAAACTCTTACAATCTTCTGGAGAGAGAGAGAGAGAGAGAAACAAGGAGAGAGAGAGAGTAAGGGAAGAAAGCAAAGCAAACTCAAGTAAACTCTCCGATATGACTTCTTCTAAGGAGAGGTCCCCTGTTTATAGCCTCGGACCTCAGATTTCATATATTCTGCTTTTCTTGAACACAGATGTCGGTCCATTGATATCTTGCCACGTAAAAAGGCAAAGGAATATTGGTCCACTGATATTTTGCCACGTAAAAAGGTGAAGGGTAGTGGATGTCGGTGGTGCTTACCACGTGGAAAGGTAAATGTAGGTGGTGTCAGTGGTGCTTGCTACATGGAAAGGTAAATTCTGTTGGCAAGATTTTAACCATAGGATAAAAGTATTTGGCCCCGTGGCTGAGTATAATGGAGTCGTACCGGCCTTGAAATTAATTGAGCGGTTGAAGCACTCCAGCACTATCATCTTCATTTTGGTGCCTTTCATTTTCACTTATTGACATAAAGTCTTCATCATCATCGAACATAGATAGCAGCTACCTTTTAAGCTCTTTTTTTGATAATTTAGGATTTTCAGATTGTAGAAGTCTTAAGTATGAGGGTATTCCAGTAGGTTGACCAACTCTTGGTGTATTATTAACCTTTATTTTTATAATTTTGATAGCCTCGGGAACTAAGTCTTTAATATCAAAACTGTCCCACCATTTTATTTACACATTTCTTTCAAGATGGGGGATATAGTCCCAATTTTCATTATCTTTTGTAACAAAATTGGTCAACCTGAGTATCCATAGGATTTCATATCACGTGGTAAAACGAATTAATATTTTAAGTCTCGACCAATTTCTACTGGCTGCCTGGAATTTAGACGAGGAGCATTATAATGGTTGCGGATAAATGTTTGGGGAGGGACCCAGTACAACATCCATTTTTTGAACCATGAAGGAATTTCTTGGAGCGCTTCATTAAGCCTGAACATGATAAACCAGCTATGGGTGCTCTGCTTATTTTGAAGTAAAAGAGTCTTTTCCCATGCCTCAATAAAACCGTAATAATTGTAACTCTTAATTTTATAATAATTTTGTCTAAAATATCGAGGTTTAAGGGGATCAAATCCCCAGTCTTTGTAGGCGAAAATTTTTTTTATTCTAAATTTAGAATAGGCAACCTCGTAATGTCCTCTGTATTTTCGGCCGATTTCTACTTATCCTGTTTCTTTTAGGATCGTTTCCTAAAAGATTTGTGGTTTAAATTCATCTCTTGGATGCATATGATTCACTAGGTAAATTTTTCATCTAGATTAAGATGAAGATGGATGCTATCAATTGGTATAATAGGGAAATACGATTTTTCCCAATATTCCGAATTTCCAGTAGACTGTATTAAGTCTTCAGAGGCACTAGGATTATTTTCTTTATTGTTGGCATGTCTTGAGGCCTCGCGTGGAGTATGTATCTTTCCCTTGGACTCCCTGTAAGAATTCGCGTGTTAAAAAGTCAAGTAGAGAGTTAGTATTTTCACCTATGTGTTGAATATCAAAATCGAAGGTGGCTAATATTGTCTTCCATCTTGCAAATATCTGTTTTAAGACTAAGATTTTATCATCCTTCTCAATAATATCTTTGGCTGCTTTGCAGTCTATTCTGATTAAGAACTTTTGGATTAAAAATATCATCTTCAAATTTTAGAACACAACAAACAATAGAGATGATTTCTTTTTATTGTAGAATAATTCTTTTGAGTGTCATTCCATTTTTAGACATAAATCTTACTAATTGTTCATTTTTTAAGTAAGGCATTTTTTGTTTTAAAATGCCTCCAAAACCAATTTCAAATACATCAGTCTCTATAATTTTAAAAGCTTTAGGAGTATAGCACAATCTTTTGCAAGGTCTTTGTAAAAGTCAGAAATATAATTAAGACTTCTAAAAAATCTTTGTAATTGAGTTATATCTCTGATTTCATTAGGGCATTGCCCTATCGATAGGAATAATAGAATGGTTATGGATATTGTGACCTAAAAATCGAATTTTTGTTTAGAATAATTGGATTTTCTTCCCAGACAAGACCAATCCTGCAGTTTTAGTTGCCTGCAAAAAGATTGTAAGATGCTTCCAATGCTGTTCAATAGAATCATAATAAAACTTACTCTAGCAGTTCAAAAAATAAAATTAAAGGTGAGAGAATTACCATGCCTTGCACTTGCCTATCCTAAAGCTTTTAAAATTCTAGAGACTGATGCATCTAAAATTGGTTTTGGAGGTATTTTAAAACAAAAATTGTCTGACTTAAAAAATGAACAATTAGTAAGATTTATGTCTAAAAAATGGAATGACACTCAAAAGAATTATTCTACAATAAAAAAGGAAATCCTCTCTGGTGTTTGTTGTGTTCTGAAATTTGAAGATGATATTTTAACCAAAAGTTCTTAATCAGAACAGACTGTAAAGCAGTCAAAGATGTTATTGAGAAAGATGTTAAAATCTTAGTCTCAAAACAGATATTTGCAAGATGGCAAGCCATATTAGCCACCTTCGATTTTGATATTCAATACATAGCAGGAAATACTAACTCTCTACCTGACTTTTTAACACACGAATTCTTCCAGGGAGTCCAAGGGAAAGATACATACTCTAGGCAAGGCCTCAAGATAAGCCAACAATAAATAGTCCTAATGCCTCTGAAGACTTAATATAGTCTACTGGAAAATCAGAATATTGGAAACAATCGTATCTCCCTATTATGCCAATTGATAGCATCCATCTTCATCTTAATCCAGATGAAAAATTTACATAGTGAATCATATGCATCCAAGAGATGAATTTAAACCACAAATATTTCATCAAACGATCCTAGAAGAAATAGGATCAGTAGAAATCGGCCGAAAATACAGAGGACATGACATGGTTGCCTATTCTAAATTTAGAATAAAAAAAATTCTCACCTACAAAGACTGGGGATTTGATCCCCTTAAACCTCGATATTTTAGACAAAATTATTTTAAAATTAAGAGTTACAATTATTATGATTATATTGAGGCATGGGAAAAGACTTTATTACTTCAAAATAAGCGGAGCACCCATAGCCAGTTTATCATGTTCAGGCTTAATGAAGCCCTTCAAGAAATTCCTTCATGGTTCAAAAAGTGGATGTAGTACTGGGGTCCCTCCCTAGACATTTTTTATGCAACCATTACAATGCTCCTTGTCTAAAGTCCAAGCAACCAATAGAAATTGGTCAAGACTTGAAATATTAATT